AGGCACAGGATTCCGTCGACTCTGAGTCAGAGAATTCGCGGTGTCGCGCGGGCCCTGTAAGGCGCCCGCGCTAAAGCCGTGCGTTCCCGCAGGACCAATAGGACTTAGCGGCGATCGGCGGCTGAGACCGCGAGCTAAGGAGCCTCGCGCTCGCGGAAAAATTCGTCACTGTGCGGATAGTGAGCGACGCGAACGCTGAGACGATCTTGCGAGCGAGCGAACGACGTAGAGAGCGAGCGAACGAGCTGCCGAACAAGCGAGACAGCGGAGAACGAGGGGCGAGCCCAGTAAGGGATTTTTGGTGAGCTGTCTTCCACCTGTCGTTCAGCCCGAGTGCCAAAAGACCGGGATGGTTGCCGTCGCTTCACGACGGCAGCCGGAAGGGTTCGTCTCCATCCTTGACGAACTGTCCAACCTCGCGATCGCGGGCTCAGATTCGGGGCCCGCGAGAGAATAGCCGTCCTTACCACGCTGCCTGCTGCCGCTTTACCGCGTTCGCGACCGCACAGTACAGCGAGCGATTGCGTAAAGAGTATGACGACTCGTGATCAGTCGTAGGAAGTGCGGGTTTCCGAGGGGCGAGAAGTACGTGGTTCGCGGTACGTGACAATTAGGGCCGGGATGCACCCGGCTGGCGCCCAATGCAATAATTAGCGTGTAGCGAGAGAATTTCGCGAGCCTCGTGCCGTTCGAACTCCTCGAGGCAGAAGGATCCTCGACTACGGATCCAGCTGCCGAATGACTTCGCGACTACGCGACTCGGAGCCCGCACCGCGTCTTCTGTAGTACCTTTCTTTGTTGTTTTTTTTTTTTTGTTAAATACAGCGCAATGTTAAACCGTATATGTGTTCTTTCATGATTCCTCCGACTCTGTCGCCTGTTCCTCTCGTGTCGCGCGAAGGAAGGTCGCTCGTCGACACAAGAATCCCGCCGCTCTATCGAATCAGAGATTTTTTTTTTAGAGCTGCCGGCAAGCTCGGCCGTCGCCGCAACGGCGGAGACGAAGTTTTGGCCGTATTCTCGCGTATAACTAA